AAACACATATATTTTATCTTATATCTTATCTTATTTTCTTCTTGCTCTATTGAGAGAGCATTTTGTTACAAGTAAAACTTGCATATATTATCTTATTGAAAAGATAATTACATTTTGTTAGAAGTAAAATCACGTATATTATCTTATTGAGAAGATAATTATATTTTTGTTATAAATAAAACACGTATAAATTATCTTATTGAGAAGATAATCATATCTTGTTAGAAATAAACCTTATACACATCACCTTGTTAAAAGAATAGTTAGTCATATAATTTCTTGAAGCTATAAAAATTATTAATTGTTATGAACACAGTTACTATTATCATTTTAAAATAATTACATACGCATAATCTTAAAATAGTAACAATATAGCAAAAGATAACAAAAATATATAAAATAAATAGCTCTCAGATCTTTAAAAAAAAGAACAGAAATAAAATTATGTACAAAATCTTTTCTCCAAGAAAAATACTTATAAAAATCTTGCAGAATCATAATTCTAACATGTTGGTTAGACTCTTTCTACCAGAAAAGATGATGATTTGGATTAGGTTCTTTAGTCCAGAAAAGATGAAATACATCATTGATTGAATAATTTGATTGATCCAAGTTTAAGACTTTTAGCTAGAAAAAGTACAGGAATAAAAAGAATAGATTAGTTAATAATTAATACATGAAATCTTCTTTACCCTATCTCATAATTATCTTTGGAAATGCCCATATTGAACAATATCCATAAATATCAGCACAGGACTTAGACTAACTGATAAAATTAGTCTAATTACTCTTTTCCATCTACTATCATAGTTCATGCTAGCAAAAACAAAATTATAAATAAATAACATAGTCTGAGTTCATAATCAAAATCTTTCCAGAGTTCTTCCTAAACAAATGTAAAGCACCAACAGCAAGCAATAGCCAACAAGCCAAGATTATTTTGATATACGTGTCATGCAGTCGGAAAATTGATTTTCCGACTGCACCGCCGAATCCCTTCCGAAGTGATTTCAGCCACAAATATCACATGACAAAATCACATATCCACCAGGCTTTAGCCAACCCCTTTTTTCAAGTACTCGTAATTTTTATTAACCAATCTTTTGGCAAACATAAATATCGCCACAAATAAATTCTTATTGCGAAGCAGGCCATAAGGCAATTCTCCAAATTATGGCTCTTCGAGCCTAGAATCAACTCTAAACTATTGCAAAGCAGGCCGTATTGTGGAACAATGGCACTTGCGTGCCTAGGCGATTCTCCGAATCATGACCCTTCAATCTATAATTCTGCTACAACCCAGGCCCAAAGGGGCCAATCTTTAGATTCATATAAATCAATCCCATTCTTATCATATATATCACCCGCAAAATACGACGATTATCTCTTGAAGAGATGGTTCGAGAATCCAATTACACAAAATTTGAATCATATATTCTAGAGTATAGTTATTAAATCAAATAGGTCTAAATATTCTAAATACGATATAATCGATATAATTGATAAATATGTCTGGTTTTGATATCGCTACTATTATTAATAAAAAAGATAAAACACTTCCTAAACCATATATTAATCGTCCTGGTTTTGATATGGTGGATCTTATGCAGACCAATATGATGCAACTACAATTTAAAGGCTGGGAAACTGCTTTGGACCCCGAAAACTTCACTCTTCTTTCCATCCTGAAATTCCGCCAAACAAGAGATGACTTCTCGTTCAATAAGTCGGTCGAGCATACTCTTATATCAAAGTTCGTTTCGTACGTTGCAGAAACTGCAGATAAAAAGTGGGGAAAGGTCGCCTCTGCCCTTAATAACGATGGTGGAATTTTTAAGGTAATATTTTTGTTTTTAAGTATTGAAGAGAATAAATCAGAAGGGGAAAAGTGGCGAGGGGATAGGGAAGGAGTTGGGCGCTGTCGAAACAACCACCTAAGCGATCTGGCAACGCGTCGGGTTAGTTACGGGGGCTATCTCCGGTGGGCTCCATCCTAAGTTTGTGTGAAGGCCAAAGGCAACACGTCTTAGTGCCAAGAGCGACGCGTTCGTTCACAACCCCTAATGACCCGCTTTTTTTCCTATAATAATTTCTTCCCAATAATTTCAACAGCAAGCCCAATGGGAGGATGTAAAATTATTTTGGAATAAGATCGAATTTGAAAAAGCTGAAATAAACACTCAATTGTTAAGGTATTTGCAGGTCTAATATGCATAAAGAGCTATTGTTCAGAAGGAAATTAATGTTTCATTTTACGGAAAAGCTGATTGACACTTTTTTCTTTCAATAAGACAAAACAACAACTCCAGGCAACCAAAAATGCCTCAAACCAGATAAATGTAATCCAGAATAGATTTATCAACAAGAGCAAGAAACGTGAACATGACTTGCAGGTCGATAAGGAGACATCAAAAAAGGTGAGATCAAGTGACTCTTAACATATTAATTCCTTTAGAATGGATGACTGAACGTCAACAATCATATATGATAAAAATAACAATTGACATTTTGCCTATCCGTTTCATAAATCAAGCATCAAACAAGAAGTGGGAGAGTTACTATACCAGATTATAATGAAGAAACAGATGAAGCATCAAGTTCCGATGTCAGTATTCCTGAACTTTCCTCACAAGAAAATAAACCGGAAACTATGTATGCAACAATTGAGAAGGGATTGGACATTAATTCTCAAGAAAATAGCAAGAAAAAAATTATTCGAGATGATGTAGTAAGTATTTGATAATAATTTAACAATCTATTTTAACTAAGAGATTTAATGCAGTTTATTTTTTTTCTACCAGATAACCGACATTTTAGGAAACACTATTGATTACTCGGATGCTACAAAAGATATTTTTTCGATTTATAAAGAACAATATCCCGATGGTGATCTAATTGATCTTCGACTAAACTCTCCATTTCTTAAAAAACTTCCAGAACCGACAGCAAGATCGTATTTAATGGAGATGGATACCGTGACTGAATCATTGGTTCCTAAAATTGTACATGATTTTCTAGTGAAATTTTTTTCGAAAAATTTAAGTGCCAAAGAATGGCACTGCGAGATCGACGATTTAAAATCTCCTGAACCGAATGATCCCGTGATGACAGCAGTAGTGAGAGCTATACGCAGTACCTTACCGCAATTGTATGTTAGGCATTAATTGATCTATTTTTTTTCGGATTCTGTTCTAATATTTTCTTTTGCACAGTATTAAGGCATTTTCACTTGAGGATCAAAATCCTCTTTTAAACATTTCAACAATTGAAGGGGTTTATCTTAATTCGTTTGTTCATCCATGTTTCGACGCTTTTTTATGGTATATAGCAAATGTAAATTACGAGTATGGAGAAATTACATCGAAAAGCCATGTCAATAGGAATCGTGCAGATGGCGCAGGATTCATGGCAGATGCTGACAAGTATCAGCTCGTCTACATGGAAGGTTCGAGGCCGGTAGCAAGGGATGATAAGGAAATTAACGATCTAGAAAAAATAACAAGTAATTCGAAAAAGATGTTTGCAGAAATTGTGAAGGGTATTGTTAAAAACAGAAGGCGTCTGCCGAGTACATTACGTGTATTTGGTGGCCAAAGCTTTCGTCGTCGAATACATTTATTTTATATTGATTACCGTGGTATGTATTTTTGTTTACTAAAAATTTATTATAAAAAAGATACTGATAATTTGAATCAAATATTAATTTAGGAACATATAGATTAAATGAGGTCGATAACGCTAATCTTCCTCGAAAATTTTCCGAAATGAAAGATTTCATTTATTTTTACGAATGTGTACTGAAGTGGGCGGTATGTATTAATACCGAATATTCTTTGACATTAACTTCCTTTAATCTCACGTACTATTTATGAATTCAGTTATTGGTCCGAAATGTTACCGAATCCTTTGATCTAGCTAGAACCGAACCGAGACCATCACGACTTTCGTTCGCGAATGCCCTATTTCAACTGGATGAATGATTTTGTATAGCTTAAATTTTGTAATACCCACGACTTGAAAAATAAACTGATATTTGGTCAAACGGTGTTTTTTGTTAGACGTGGTTTCGTAAGTGTTAATAATTGAGAGTAAATCCCCAAGAGAGCAACCTCATGTGATCCATATATTTCAGGTGTTAAAGTGTTAACCGAATTTTTTTTTCTTTATACGTTCTGAAATGGACATGCGTGATTGATAAATGTGAATCAACGTAATCAATTTAGCATTTAAAGTTTTAAATTTACTCAATAAGACCCAATTCTCGAAGATGTTCTGGAATGACTATATATGGGTCTTCGTAATACCAAACGTATCTTAAAACAATCCAATTTTCTTCACATAATTCTTTCTTGAGTTGATCCCGCTCTTGCTGTCTAATAAAATTATTGGGATCTCCTTTGTGAAAGAATTTGATATATTTTTCGTGTTGTTCTCGTACTTCAATTGCAAAACCATATTCTGGGTAAAATATATCAAGTTGTAGACCTTGAGGGGATTCAAACGTTTTTAAAAAGTCTGGCCAACGATTTTCTGACGGAGGTCCAAGATATTTTGTCACAATCTCACGACATAAATTTTCCCGTTTGAATTTTGAGCAAAATGGACACCATGAATTATGATTTTTTATACTATTAAAAGATGTATACCAAGTATGCCCTTTATCACATTTCCAATAATATTGATTTTTAGATTTGGTATAATTTTTAGAAAGACATTTACCACCACGTAAATAAGCAGTTTTTTGTAATTCGCCAATATTTAACTTAAACCCACATTTTGCACATTGTGGACACCATGTATTATGATTTTTTATATTAGCAAGGGATGCATACCATATATGCGATTTATTGCACTGCCATAATAATGGAGTTATAATATTAATATATTGATTGGAAAGACATTTTCCATCACGATCTTCAGCAATTATAATAGCCTCTTTCAAGGTAAGACGAATATTACCCGCACAATGTGGATACCATTTACCATGATCTTTTATACGATTAAGAGATGCTGACCAAGTGTGTCCTTTTTTGCATTTCCATTCTAAGGGACTTTTGGCATTGATATACTGAGTGGAAAGACATTTTCCATTATATTTTTTAGCAGTTATTTGAGCATCACTTAAAGATAATTTTTTCATTATAATAGATTGTTACTTTTAATATCTAAGATATATTTTTAATATAAAATCACAGGCTGGATACTGATAGCTATTTCATTTGAGAATAGTAGCAAATAAGATATTGAAAACATTCACCCCAATTTTAATCATGGCTGGATATGAATATCTGAATAGAAGTGGCAAGTAAGATGTACTTATATTGCTATATTAATAAATAACAGAAAAATAATTATCTCATTATTATGAATTGCATTCTATTACGGAGCAGGTTGTATTGTGAAATAATAGTACTTACATGTCTAGATGATGAATCAAGATTTGAAGCTACTTATTAGAAAGATCAAGAGCTTGGTTCTATCTTTTATGAATATAGAGCAGATCCTCTTTTGTTCTAGTTAAATTGATAACAATAAATTTTCTATCTTGTAAATTTTTATCAAGTATATTAATAATATCATGCCATTTTTTTGTATATCATTGGGTGATGTTAACTAGTTTATCATATGTCCCACTGTTATTAAAGAGAACAATGTAATCAAGATTTTTTCTTATTAATTTAGGATAGTCAAAAAATCTTTGTGTTATGTATATTGAACTGATATTAGCATGTCACCCTTTACTAAAATATGAAGCAATTTTATCTTGTATTTTTTTAGGCTCAGTACATAAATCTTCAAATATAACTACTGTTTCTCTTTTAGGAAAGAAATCATTAATTTTTGGTATTTTATCAGGCTTCATTGCTCAGAATGTAATATTTTCATAATACAATTTTGAACTATTTATAATTATTTTATAGCAATGTTTTAAATATTTATATTTCAGCTCATTAATATGATATTTGATCTAAAGATGACTCCTCAACTAGTTGCAACTTGTGGCAGCCAATCAGAGAATTATAATAAAGTTATGGTAGCCAATCAGAGAATTGTGATAGAGTTACAACTAGTTATAGCTCTCATCACTAGTTTGATCAAAACTAAATCATCATTTTTAATATATCTTATTTCACCTTTTTTTTCACTAAATAATCAATATATTTTATTTCTAAGTAAAAGGTTGATAACTTTATTTGTTTTTCCCAATCTAGTTCATCCTGATACTAGAATATTGAAAGGCTATTGAGACGTATTATTTAATCTATTGAATTTTTCTGAATTTTTATATTCATTAATATTTAAAACTATTCTCTCAACTGAATCAAGTTTTTCTACTTTCATTCTGGTAAAAATAAGTAATATTAATTATTATATCAAAAAAATATTAATTGAACCAGATAAACATTTAAAGTTTTACTTTTATTCTATAAGTTCCAGTTCTTAAAGAATATCTGATATTATTTTATATAAATCTTCATAATATCAAACATATTTGAGGATAATCTAATTATCTTTGCATAATTCTGTCTTAAGTTGATCTTGGATTAATTAATTATCAAAATCTTTTAAAGTTTGATAAAAATACTTAATGTAATGCTTATATTATTCTTCTTGTACTTCAATTGCAAAATCATATTGCAGATAGTAGATATTAAGATGTAATTCAACTGAATGCTCTGAAGTTTTAAGAAAATTAGATTAACATATCTTAGATGGAGATTCAAGATATTTTGATATAATCTCTCAACATAAATTTTCTTACTTATACTTTGAATAGTAAGGGTACTATGTATTATCATTTTTTATATGAGAAAGTGTGATATACTATTGATAATTTTTTTTGTATTTTCAGAGTAATTTACTTTTAGTATCAACATAAAAATTTATTAAATATTCTTTATATTAACTATATGCAATAGATTTGGCAACTGAAATATCAAGTCTTATATCAGAATAATATGGACATCAAGAATTTTTATATTTAATACTAGCAAGAGAAGCAACCCATTTATATAATTTGGAGTATCTCTAACATAAATCTTTTTTATGGTTAATATACATATTAGATAAATACTCACCATTTTTATTATATGTCAATACTTTAGTATATTTAATTTCAAGTCTTTCAGATTCACGTATATAATAGAGATATCAAGTTTCTCTTTGAATACTATCAATTCAAGCAGACTATTGATAATTTTTATTATATTTTTATAATAATGTGATATATCTGTTTTGATAAGAAGTAGAAAAACAAATTTCATCTCTTTTACAGACAAGATTTTGAGTATAGTTAAGTCTAAGTTTCATGTATTCATGACACTAATTTTCTTTATTTTTAATATTTCCAAGAGATAAGTAAAACTGATGATTATTTTCATATTTCCATAAAAGAGAAGAGCTATTATTAACATATTTTTCTGAAATATATTTTCTATTTTTCATATATGCCAATTCTTGAGCTACTGAAATACTAAGCTTTTTTTTCTTTATATAATAGGAGTACTATATAAGATGATTTTTAATAAAATAAAATGAAGCAGATCATTAATGATTTTTATTATATTTTCAAAATATTAGAGTTTTACAATTAATATATTCTTTAAAAAGATATCATTTATCACAAGATTCAGCTATACGTACTACATTATTTAAAGATAATTTTACAGATATCAAGAATTGATAAGTTTTAAATAACTATTCTATTCTTTAAAATACTGGTTCAAGTTTTTTTATTTTCATTCTAATCAAATAAGTCACTAATTATTATATCTAAAAAATAATAATTTTTAATACTTAAAGATACTGAATTATTTTTTATATATCAAGATACTAGAATCAAATGATGAAGTTCAAATATATAATTTCAGTTATCTAATCCATATATTCTATAGTTGATTATATTTTTTATTTATATCTTATATACATCTCAATATAATAAATCACATAACAATAATAATTAACAGAGTAAGTAACACATATGCTGATAGTGATAACATTAATGTACTTGTTATAATAGAAATTACTTTTATTTCTCTTATCAAAATTTAAGGATATGATTCAATCAATAAGAATATATTATTATCCTATTATGCAAGATGTAATAACATATTTTAAGACATAGCCTCTGATACATGAGATTTTATTGGTATATTATTCTTATTAATTTCACTAATACTAGTTTTATCACTTATCTTGGGGTTAATCTTAGTATTATTTTTTGGTAGTTTGGTAATCTTGTCATTAATTTTTTCTATTGGATTCATATTTTTTCTATATATAAAATATTTACTGAGATCAATACTATCCAAAGATATATTATTAAACTTAGTAATATTTTTTATTATGAAAATAATGGGGCTCTGTCTCTTGATATTTTTATCAACTATGGATTTCAATATAGTCTTCAATTTCAAATTCTCAACTCACTAACTGTTGAAGCTAACTCTTATTCTAATTCAGCTATTTTAGATTTGAGAAATGTGATCTCAGTTTCTTTTTTTGATGAGTCACTTTGAATCAAAATCATATCTTTCTGGGCTAAAAATAACTTATCTTCTAATATCTTGATTATAAACTTGAGTGATTTGATTTTCTTAGATTTTATAATATTTTCAATCTTGAATTTAGTAATAGAAATATTTTTATTAATATTTTTAACTCCATTTTTTTCTCTCCTATTCTCACTATTTTCTTTCCTGATCCTACTTCTTATTTTGTTTTAATTGATCAGCTCATAATATTTTATTGCAAATATTTAATTTGAATATAATTTTTGTACTATAATATAATTTTCTATTGATATCCATAATATTAGTAAAATTTGCTTTATTAAAAAATTAAAAATTTTGAAAGTAATAGAAATATTTGATATATTTGATATGTTTTATTTTTTCAAAAAATTAGGGGACTCTTTTCTTATTCTACATATTTTTTTAATATATTATATTTTTCTGATATATTACATTTTTCTGATATA